TTTGCTGTTGTTTTGTTTTGGTGTAAGACTACCCCAGGTGAAATACACCAATATGAAATTAACAGGAGTAAAAATGTATTGTTAATTGTTAAACGGGAATTGTAACAGGACTTTTAATGACTTACATAAAATGTTGCAGACAAAATAATCTGAAAGTTATATGGTGTTTATTTCTTTGGGACATTTAAAATAAATATATTTTATTAAAACTAATCTGAAGTAAATAATAAGATCTATCACAAAATCTATGTTATAACTAAGTCTTAAATTTACTTTTATATTTGTTTTTTTTTTTGTTTCTTTTGTTTTTTGCAGTGTATAAGGTCAAAATTAAGTGTTATTATAACAGCAGTATTTACCAATGTAAGTAACAGCCACCCCATTTAACATATTTGGAGGCGTCTGTTTGTTTCCAAAGAGAAATTAGCATTTCTGTAGCAACAGTAATCTGGAGACCCAATCACTGTCCAGATAGCTGGTTGGGGTTGTGGGATATAATCACAGCACATTCATTCATGTCTTTTAGAAGTGTTTGTCTCTGTTAGAACCTTGCTGTATTGAAGGAGGAGAAGATAAGATATTAAAAACTTTATTTCAACTATTCGTTTATTTCTCCCTCTGCGCGAGTCAGGTTACTAGTTTAATAGCGTAAGCTTCTGTTATTATACGTCACACGCATCACACACATGACCAGCGTCGGCCAATAGTGAGCCTTCGTGTGACGTAGCTCTACGCAATCACACTACGTTAACTGACTACAGGCCCATGGAGAAGGAAGTGAATAGTTGAAATAAAGTCGTTATTTTTGTTTGTTTTTGTGCACAAAAATATTCTCGTCGTTTGATAAAGTTAAGATTGAGCCCCTGAAGTCACTTGGACTATTTTAACGATGTCTTTAATGTATTTTCGGGGACAGCAAGTGTCATTCCCTCAAGAAGCCTACGGACTGTATGCAGGAGCGATCTTAATATCTTAAATATCTTAATTTGTGTTCTGAAGATGAACGAAGGTCTTACGGGGTTGGAACAACATGAGGGTGAGTAAATACTGACAGAATTTTCATTTTTGGGTGAGCTAACCCTTTAAAAAGCACAAAATTTTCTTACGGGGGAGCATGCCCCCGAACCCCCCTAGAGGGACAGAGGTGCGCTGACCAATACTATATTTCATTTATTCGGTTTGGTCATTTACAGATCATTCAATCAATCAATCAAAACATTCGAAACATAAACAGGGATTAAAGTTCTCCGTCGCTTCGACGGATTTCCTTTAATTGCAGCGGGTCTATGACGGATATCCGTCAATTGCAGGGTTCCCGTCTGTCCTTATGTCTTAAATTAACTTTTCATAATTTTAAGGCCGTAAATAGGCTTTCATTTCGCGAACAGTGTGATAAATGTCTTATTTTTAGTTTGAATAGGTCTTAAATTAAGGAAAGATGATGCGTATTCACCCTGCCGAGGGGGATGTGATAAAGCCTGGAGTGGAGCGAAAGCACGTTACTCTCTCCACTCTAAGCATTCTGTAATCACTTTGCTCATGGTCCACTCCGGTTTTTCAATTCCCGCTCACGGAAAAACTGCTCCCTGGACCCTGTTCACTCAATCTTGTCAGGCGAGGCCACAGCTCGTTTGCTGCGGTCCCATGATAGAAAACAGAACGTGGGTCAATATTGGTCGTTTCTCAATACCAAGTACACAAACTTCGGACTTGCGTCCTTGGTAGTTCGGACTTGCCAAGTTCGACTCGAGAGAACAAACTCCCGAGGACGAGAGGACGCTGCTAACAGCGCGTTCTTGATCGCGTCACTCAGCACGCGGCTACTCCGGTTATCAACTCTGCCTTTTTTCATCAACACCACTGTGCCTCTTTTCATTTATAAATGAACATAATTATTATCAAAAACATATAAATGGCCACACAAATGTGGTTCAGGCAACGCACATTGATTATAATATATTTATAACAACACGAAATATAGCTAAAACACAAACCTGCTTCTTTTTGTTTTCATTTTAAAAATATATAACATTATTTATCATTAAAACTGACATTTAACAAACAGACAGGGTTGTGTCGTTTTATTGTATTATACGTACACATACAGTGAAGAGAATGAATAGTAATATAATATTTTATATATTTTAGAATATATAAAATTACACAACCATGTCTCTTTTTTTGTTAAATGTCAGTTTTAATGCTAATATCCCGTTCAAAGGTATAAGTACCCTAATAGGTAGGCTATAATAAGCTATACAATGAGAAATAAAGCAAACAATTCAGTTAAACATAAGTAGGCTCTCTAATAGGCTACAAAGTTAAAGTTAAATAGCCTACATAATAAAGTTATAAAACTTCACTTTGCCCTCAGCCAAAACAATTTGCCATGGCACAAACTATATATTAATATAGTTTAGCATTGTTTGGTCTCATAAGATAAAATAAAAACATGCACTGAAAACTTATGTATATGGTTGATTATTTGTCAAGATAAGTAATTGTTTTTCATAGATTAAAATAGCTTTTAAATTAAATTACAAAAACTGGCAATATTAGATTGGTTTTAAACATCTCCCCTTAAAACGCTATTGGTCTCGACTATTTAAATAAAGTATTAATAAAATTTTTGTAATAAAAAGATTGGATTAGTTCTAGTTTTGTATGTATTTCCCCAAATTTCAATACCATACGTTAAGTATGGTGTAACAAGTGAAGTATAAAGTAAATGTAATGCATTTTTACTCAAGATATACTGCAACTTGTACAGAATTGCAATTATTTTAGATACTTTCTTCTGAACATTAAAAATATGCGGTTTCCATGTCATTTTACAATCAATAATTACTCCAAGAAATTTTATATGATTTACTCTTCTAAAATATTTTTATTAATAGTAATCCTGATCTCATTATTTAACTCTTTATTACTAAATACCATGAATTTCGTTTTATTTAAATTTAGTGACAATTTATTTAAATCAAACCAATTCTTTAGTTTATACAATTTTTTCTCTACCACCAACACAAGCTCTGTAAGATTTGGGCCAGAACAATAAATTGTTGTATCATCCGCGAAAAGAATAAAATTTAAAACATCCGACACTTTGCATATATCGTTTATATATAACAAAAATAACTTAGGGCCCAAAACAGAGCCTTGCGGAACGCCACAATTAATGTGGCGTTAATATACAGTTAATATATAAACATCTTGTGAGAAAGACTGGTATTGCCAATGCAATTGGAGAATTGTATTTTAAACTTAGTAGTTATTTCATCTCACTCATTAGATGGGGTTGGTGGTTTTAATAGGAGTTGTTGGTATACATATTCAAGGGCGTACACAGTTCAGTTGTGTGTATGTTCATATGTAGTGGGCCAGTCTGGGCCAAAATGCCCAGGCCGATTTTTTTGTCCCAGTCCAGCCCTGGGCGGACTGATAATACTGGAGCACCAACTAGCGTTCATGACTTTTTTTTACAGTCTATGCCTCAGCTAATAAAAAAAAAGCAGTGAACATGAACGAAGACGCTGACGAGACCCCTTCGGTTGGTCCTGTGGATGGGAAATTTAGTTATAAGAACGAACCGATGGAAGCGTCATTAAGAGCATGGTTGTTGTGTGCAAGCTATGCAACAAGGAATTCGCATATCACATCGACCCTCAAGTTTCACCTCAACGCAAAACATATACAATTGCACTGGTCTGTTGGATTTGGTTGAACAAAAATAAACAATATTTTGTTGCTTAAGCTTATGTATTCAGTCATTATTAAATGATATACTAAAAATCCATGTGAAAAAAAATCTTCTCACTGTTCTCAGTTCAAATATTTATGCAATTAAAATGCGCTTAATTTCGATTTATTAATTACAAAGCCTCTAATTAATTAGATTTTTTTTTAATCGAGTCCCGGCCCTAAAAATAATATATATAATTTACTCACACATTCTAAGTGATCTTATGAACCACTGACAACTCTTAAATAACTGGTTTGTAAATAATGCTATACTTCATTTAGATGTAAATTGATCATTAATAAAGTATGAAAATACAATTATTAAACACATTATAGATATGCTATTAAAACAAGAAAAAAAACATTTATAGCTGTATTTACATATATACTGCTTATTAATGTATTTTAATGCTTAATAAATGGTGAATTATCAGTTCACTAATGCTTAACTAATGATTAATACCATGCAGTTATTATAAAGTTACTGAAAGTTCCTATAAGCAGCCAGTTCACCAGCAGCTCTACAGTCTCAGAGCCTCTGGGACAGCAAGGCATTCAGACAATAGAGAAGTGTGAACGACGTGTGTTAATGGGCCATTGCAGTTCTTGCTCCAGCCTACAGGAGCGCTGCTGAGTATGGGCTTAAACACACACACACTCGCAAGTCCCCACTTGGTCAAAAATGTAAAAAATTCACCAGAGCGTTTTTTAGTTGATTTTAACATGTTTTAAGGCATAACTAACAGGGGACTTGAAAAATGTCCCCACTTCCCTCGGCGGTCCCCTGTTAGTGAGTGTGTAACGACACCAAAGTCCCCTCTTAGATAGGTAGACAAGTACACACACACACACACACACCATTAGGTCACTTGATTAAGTTTTTCGGCTGCTTGCCACCTTGCTCAGTTGGGTATATTCAAATGAATTAACCAATCAGTAATCCCCTCGATCAGCTCTACCAAACGTGGATGTTTTTCCACTAATATACGAACATTGTTATTATATTTTGATTGATACTGTGAAGCTGCTTTGATGCAGTCTATATTGTGAAAAGTGCTATATAAATATACTTAACTCACGCTCACTCACTCTCTCACTTTAACACACTTAAATCCACTCTCACTCACTCACTCACACACTCACTCACTCACTCTCTCTCTCTCTCACTCACTCACTCACACACTCACTCACTCACTCACTCTCTCTCTCACTCACACACACACACACTCTCTCTCTCTCTCTCTCTCACTCTCTCTCACCATCATAAGTCCCGATCTCTAGCAGTCCTCCACGCCGGTGCAGCTCCAGGAAATCCTCCACTGACAGGAAGTTGTAATCCACACCATGAAGCTCGCGGCCTCGAGGGCGACGGGTCGTGCCTGCAGGAGCAACAAACACAAGAACTCAAATGACAGACTCCATCGTCAGATATCAGGAATAAAACAAAGTCTGTAAATGAGTTGGTCTCAGAGCGTCAGACGAAACACAATAAATGCTGTTCTGATAAATCCCACAGCTGTGTGTAAATCCAACATGTGGTCAAATACTTCATTACTTATGAAAACGTCAAAACGTAATTGTTTATTGACACATAAATCTATTAGATATCAAGTACAATTAATGAAAGGACAAACAATGTCTCCGTCTAAAGCTAGATTCGCCCTTCACACACACACACACACACACACACAGACACGCAGACGTCATCACGGCTGAATACACACACACACACTCTTGTGTTGTTCTGGCAGTAATAGACCCCAGTAATAGAGTTACATCACATTCTAATACATTATGATTCGCTCCAACTGACCAGTCTTCAATCTGCGGCAACAAGACGACAGAAAGAGAAGACATTAAGCTCACGTCCACTATAGTGGACAACAACACACACCGAACCTCCCCAGCGGTGTGTGTGTGTGTGTGAGTGTGTGTTTCAGTACGGTAGTGTGTTGGATATCACACAACACATCCTTCCAGCTGATGCTTTACTGAGAATCATCAAACACATGAAGCTCGGGAAGTCTTGTAGATTATCACAAAAAATAATCATGATAGAAACATGTTACTGATTTCTCTGCACCATTAAAGGCTGGATCAGCGATTTCAGGCCCAAACTAAATTATTCGTCTAATCTTTCCTAACCGATCCCCATAGGCAGCCGAGGCTCTGAGATCTGCACACAAAAACAAATAGGAACAACCACCAATCAAAACCAAAATAAACTAACCAATCACTGACAGAGGAGGGGGCGGGGCTAAGGAATAACCAACGGCCCAGATACATTTAACATGGGAGAGGCAATCCCCAAGAGGAGGAGGAGGATTAGGCCGTCGTCCTTCGTCAAAGAAACGAATAATAATCGGGAAGGCCTTTGAGCGGTGGAGAGGACTCCAAGAATCGGACGCCGAGGACGTTTCTTCTGGACGGGCGAGTCGCTCTAGTGCTGACTTTCGAGTGAAGCTCGAGTACACTTGGACAGCTCTAGCGAATATCAGATTGTATGGATTTAGTGTGTGAGTTGCGTTTGTTATATCTGTGTGTAGCCATAACTTGTAATATTAGCAATAACACCATTAATAATAATAATAATAATAAGCTGTTATAATATTTTCTGTATATGACTGATTCTGGATTTGCATGAACTAACATTAGCAAAGATTAATAAACACTGTAACTAATGCACTGCTCATCGTTAGTTCATGTTGGTTAATGCATTTACTAATGTTAACTAATGAACCTTATTGTAAAGTGTTCCCATAAGAACTGTAATCTGTGCAAACACACACACACACACAAGCCTAACCGTGTCCCTCCAGGGCCTCCGTAGCACACGTTCATCTTTTCTCCTGCCTTTCCGAATCAGGTATTGGTCTCCTTTCATTGGCGAGATATTGTCTAAAATATAATTTAATGTTTACTTTTTCTTTATTGAACTGTTAAATAAAATCGTGCTGATATTCTGAAAAACAGCACTCTTGCCCTTGTCATATTGCTTACACTTAAACTCTTTTAAAATATATATAAAAATCAGTGGTGGAGGAAGTACTGAATCTCAGTACTTAAGTAAAAGTACAAATACCCAGATAAATATTTACTTTAGTAAAAGTAGAAGTAACACAATGACAACCATACTTAAGTAAAAAGTACTTTATTTTAAATGTACTTTAAGTATTAAAAGTAAAAGTACTTGCATAACAATTGATTATCTTAATGTCTATTTTCTAATGATTAATAAAACATTTAATTCTAACTCATTCAACCTAATACTCCTATAATGATGTTCAATAATGATGGAAAAAAATGTCACCATTTCTGAAACAATATATTGTATACTGTATCTATGGCAACCAAACGTCACTGGTGAGACAAACGTGCAACGAACGGACGGTCAGATTACGTTTTGTCAGGGGAAAAACTGATCAGAAAATGTAACGAAAATGTAACAGAAGTTGTAGAAATGTAGTGGAGTAGCAAGTATAATAATTGCTGCAAAATGTAACGAAGTAAAAGTAAAAAGTATGCACTATTTATTCTACTTAAGTAAAGTAAAGATACGTGAAAAATGTACTTAAGTAAAGTAACGAAGAGTACTGCACATGTACGGAGAACAGCTTGGAGACGCGAGCTGAATGCAGGATATACTAAAGCTGATCCTGAAACGCGTTCCCTTTCCGTCGGGATCTGGTGTTCACGGATCTTCTATGTCTCATTTGCGGTTGTGTTTTTATTATCTCTATGATGTACTATTACATCATTACTTATGAACTATTATCTCTATGATGTAAAGGAAGCTAACTAACAGGACAGTGTTGATGACGTAGTGTTTCTGTTTCCGGTTCAGTCTGAAACGTGCAGCAAAGTTTGGTTAACACTGTCAGGGTCTGAACCGCTCGAACTGGGTTAAAATCGAAGCCATAGTTCACATCGGAGTAGAGCTTGTGGTTATGAAGGGGCGGTGCATGAGCTGCCAATCACAACACACTGAGCCAGCTGACCAATCACAACGGTTTTTATATTTCAGAAGGAGGGGTTTCATTGAAAACGATGCGTTCGGGACAGAATGGGGAGAGAGGAGCTGTAATCATGTAAAAAAGTGAAACATAATGTGTTTTTGAACAATCAAGCATGAAACCATATTCCAGCACACCCCAAAAACTAAATCAAGACTTCATAAAAGGGTTTGAAAAGTTTGAGTTCAGATCAATGTTTGTTGCTGTTAAACAATGGTACGGTTCTGTTTTTGGCAAAATGATGTGATTTCAGTGCCGTTGTTAGGGTGAATGATTAAACATTTGTCATAAAATGATGTTGTAACTCATGGAAAGGTCAGGGAGATTCTGAATTACTCTGCTTAGGGACATGCAGTGATATTACTCATCTGACTGTGTCCTAATAAAGATCTCAAATATGAAAAGGGTTGAGGTGTTGTGGTATAAACGCATCTCCCGTATCTCCACACACACCACTGAGGAGGACAGCCACGGTTATTCAGGACACATGAGATCGAGGAAACAGGCCGAGATCTAACGCCGTGATCTGTGTTAGCATGAACAACAGGCTGACGCTCGCCCTGACACGTGAAACCTGTCGTCTGCCGGCTGTCACCGCGGATCATTGTGTGTGTGTGTGTGTGTGTGTGTGTGTGAACATCTGCTGCTCCACAGCCCACAATGACGGTGTGTGTCCACCAATCCTGTGATTCACGGCAGTCACACCACTGGCTCAGGGACACACACGCTCGACTCTGAGGACGCCTGCGGTCATCTTCATCTTCATCTTCATCATCTCCAGTCCGTCTCCCGCATCGCGTCCGCAAACCAGTTCAAATCTCCCGGAATCTGGAGCGAGACGGAACATACTGATGACGCGCGGCAGAGAGAGAGAGAGCGAGAGACCTTACGAGTGTGCCTCGCGAAAGCTAGTCAATATTGATAGCCTATATTGTCTTTTTGTAAATTATGACTATATTTTACAGAGATGTTTACAAGGTTTGGTTCTATTATTGTTGTTGATATTTTCCTCTCTCATTTTGTTTCTTTTTTTTCTAGTTTTAAGCCATAACATCTGGCATTAAGGGACTAATGAAAACTGGTTTTCGGGACACTTGACCTGTTCGATGTGTTTGTTTGATGACACCGGAGTACAGTTCACAGATTAGGAAACGCTGGCCCAGATTATGGCATCTCGTATGTGACGCGGACGGGCTCTGTGTAAAACAATCATGCCAATAAAGTACTCTGAACTGATCAAGCCCTGAGTTATTGAGGAGAATCTCTCCATGATTGGACAGGTCAAACAGACGAGCTTCGTAACAGAAACAGCCCAGACGCTTTAATGGGATTGTGGGAATGAGTGAGAAACGAAAGAATATCCAGAACAGTGTCCATTAATTATTTACAGTATTTCACACAAACTGGAATAAAGATTAAAAAAAGAGAGGAAGAGGTGATATATCAGCCGTTAGAGTGTGCATCCATCTACACTTCGGATTCTGACCGGAAAAAGTAGACACTCATTTCAACATACTACAGTTTGGGACGCACTAATTCTATTTTCGAATACTATTTAGGACGGATAGTATGCGAATTGGGACGCAGCAAGTGTTTCTGAATGAATCTGTCGAGTGAATGATTCAATGTCTCTTGTTGTCTCCCCCGACTGAAGTAACGTCTCTTTATGTGAAGCCTCAAGTTACTTTCAAAAGCCGATTTTCTCTATTTTATCAGTGTTTATATCTGATCTATAATCTTTCTCCAGCGCTCCTGTGATCATCTGAGTGATTGAAAGACAGATATAATGACAGTGAGATGTTGAGACTGTTAGAGATTCGGTTTCATATCTACTCATGCGCCGACTCTCTCTGGATCTGAATGTTCCTGTGATGTGTGTCACGGTTAAATAATGATGTGCGTTAAAGGATGGCTTGAGATTGTAAACTTTGTGTTTGTGTAAATTCTACACAATCATATTCTGAAACGCCGGAAGTGATCTGTCACGCATTGTTTACCCAGAGATTTCAGAAGTTTTACCGGTCACTAAACATATTTAGATATGTCGAAATCGTCTTCCATTGCGGTTTCCCGTATATCTAAATATGTTTAGTGAAAGGTAAAACTTCCGAAATCTCCGTGTAAACAATGCGTGACGAGAGATCACTTCCGGCGTCACTTCTGGAGACGGTTCAGTTGCTTACACGAGGTAAAAACGATATAAATACTGTTGGTTTTCTCACACCAACCGCTCGTTTCGTGTCTTAGGCCATCAATGTGTACTTACATTTACGAGTCATTAAATCATGTTTAATTTGCAGTCCCTCCAGAAAAACGCGATTATGCGATCGCTGAATTCAATGCAAAATCAGCCAAAGTCCGCATAT